AACTGTGAAAGAGTATTTTGCTTCCAGAGGTAAATGTTGGTACCTCTGTTTCTGAAAGAGTTCATTCCTATCTTTGAGTAAGCGTGGCTTTAATTCTTGGCTTTCCTAACTCGGAGGAGGATTGCTATCAGGCGTCAGTATGTGATCTCTTGCCTAATAGAAATAGCTTTGTTCAGTTTATCTTTGCTTCCTCCAGACTGGCAGGTTGTTCTGTTCAAGGGGAACACAAGCATGCCAACACTAATGCATGGCAAGCAGCTGGCTGTAGACCCACCTGAATGTACTGCTGCAGGCTCCTGGTGCGTTCAGGTCCCACCTCCTCGTAGCTGCAGAAGAGTTTGCTCAGTTCAGCTTTGCCAATTCCAAAGTGGGAAGCTGCCTCTATTGCCTCACGGATCTCCAGAGCAGCAGCTGCATCCCTGGGCCTGTAGCCATAACGTCCTGTGCACTCCTGCAGAAAGCCATCCACCTTGTAATCTTCTTCTTGGACTTTTATCAGCCTGGTGAAAGTTTCAGGGAGGCAGGAGATTCCCACAGCCATGTTATCAAGCTGAGGAGAAACTGCAAAGCAAATAAAGCCAGGTGTAGGAGATGTGAGGCAGTTGTTTCTGTGCAATACACTACAGAAAGATAAATATTGACAGAGGCCTTAGAGGTGTTCTAGACTATGCCAATTAAAATCAGAGCTCAGTTTTCCATCTCCACTGCTGCTGTTTCCTTTTTTTCTTCCTGCCTTATATATTTGTCTCTAACAAGATCAGGAGCAGAAGAGCAAGCTGGTTTCCAAGGGCCTTCCTTGTATCCAGGTGAAGTATTACTGAAAGACAGTGCAGACTTACTGGTATTCTCTAACACTGGGTCAGCTTAACTCCAAGTTAATGAGGGAATCGTCTCCTCTTTTCTTGAAGAAGGTGAAGTGAAAAGTCTAGGGCAAGGAAATCATAGAATCATAGAATGTTTTAGCCTGGAAGGGACCTCTAGAGGCATTGACAAGAGCTGTGGAGAAGCCTATTAGTTGAAAACACTGGAAGCAGCTGATCCATGGCAGAAAGCTATTGGCCAAATCTTCAGAAGCAGCAGCAGTGTAACTCCTGTTCCCTGGCCCATGGGATCAGAGGGTATCTTTGGCACTGTGCTTACCTGCTCCCATCCCTTTTATCTGGAGGCTGCCCTTCCACCATGCCCTGTGGGATGCTCAGATGACAGCTGCATGTCTTTGACAGCCAAGGAAAAAGTGAGGCCAGCTGTACCAAGGCAGCAGCTCACTCAGACCTACCTTCTGGAGGGCACGTGTGGCAGCAGAGATAGGAGACACCATTTCTGTGTCACCTCCATCATGACAGCAACAGGAGTGGGCAGGGACAGCACTAGGCTGTGCAGCTGGAGAGCTAAACCACCAAAGGCCTTCCTGGCTACACTGGCATTACAGCTAACTGGAAGATACTCTTCAAGAAGGGACAGTGCTGATAAACTGCAAATATTTAAATATTATCAAAATGTTTAATTACTGCAGGAGAAAGGCCAGAGGTTGGACACCACTACTCCAGGCACTTGCATGAGACATGTAAATGTCTATCTCCATTCTTTGGCAGAGGAGAAAGCTTTGGTATGACATAGTACGGTACTTTAAGTTGCAGAAGGGACTGAAAAACCTCCTGGAGAAGGGATAACAGAGCAGAGAACAGGATTCCTCTGTGGATTAACAGTTCCATGTAACATGAAATACAGGGAAGGACCTGTTACCCACAGAAGGTGCCTGTGTAAGTCAACCACTTATTTATGTCAGGAGAGAAAGCATTCCAAGGCAAACTGTGTGTGCAATGAGAAAAAAATACACTCCCAGTAACTGGGTCTGTTCAGATCCACCCCTCAGGGCTGAGTTCACTGCCTGTCCTGCCCCAGCCACTCCCAGGTGAGCTGGGCCAAACAGAGACTGACCTGCAGAGCTGAGCCTTCCTGGCAGGGGTGTACACCGCAGCTTCACCTTCACCTGGCAGGAGTTGACCACGATGTTGTCACTGGGACTCAGGTTGCGTGTGCTGACAATGCCAGGGGCATAGTAGCCCCTCATCAGCAGGTAATTGGTGTGAGAGGCTTGACGGGCCTTGACTTCTATTCTCCTCTTGCCTCCAGAGCTCTCCTCTAGGTCATCATCGTCGTCATCATCCTCCTCCAGTCCTCCTTTTCCCAAGCTGCAGCAAACAGAGGTGTTTTGATGTTGTTTTTTTCCCCAAAATAAGAAAGTGTGATTACAGTGATCAGAGCAGGAACACGTGCTGTTCTGCATCCCAGCATTCAGTCATCGACAGCCGTGGCTGTGTCCAGAGCAGGCTGGGTTAAAGTGCTGAGAACAGGCAACTACAGAAAACAAAACACACTCATGGGTCCTGGAAAAGGAAACTTTTTGCAAATGTGTTGAGATGAACTCCAAATATCTGAGCTCACAGT